TCCGCAAGCTTGCAGCAATGTCTGCTGCAAGTTTGTAGCAATCAGCAAATATTATTGCAGGAAGGCAATTTTTTCGGTATTGAGGGGCACAGGACAATGTATGATCAGACAAGTTAAGTTTAAACCACAGCTTCTATAAGATTGATGTCATAATATTTTTTAAAAGCTACATTAAATAAAATATTATTGTCATAAAGCACAGTTTTGAGTTTTTCCCCCTTACCCTTAATTTCTACTTCTATTAATAAGAATTTGATGACAAATGGGTTTTTGAATTGTTTCTTTTATCAAGTTTCACATGTTATTATCAATGAACATCGAGCCCCCACCCGATCCCAGACTAACGAAATCATTCCATTGTAATAAATCACATAAAAACATTCTTCTTTCATTCATTATACATGATAAAGGCACTACAACAATTACATATTACTACATAAACATACTACATTAGTAACAGTTAACAAATCATCTAAAATCATCCTTCGGTCATTCATCAAACAACATGGCCAGTAATTCAGGGGCCCTTGTTACATAAGAACCTTGTCCTCACAAATCTTACTATAAACGGCATGATATTCCTCACTGATTCCTCGAAGCTTAGTCAGCAGGCTGATAAAAGCAGAAAACTGGTGCCCTGCCCGGCTTTTGTAGCGAGACTTTCAGAGGGCCGTTATGGTTTTCACTAGAACACTCTCTAATTTCTGAACAGTCTCAGGGAATTCTACTTTACAGCGATCTGCAGGGAAAAATGTGATATTCATATTTTTTTTTTTGTTAAAAAAGTATTATCCAAGACTTGTATCCAAAACGAAAATATTACAGTCTCTCCTTCATATTGCTTAATTAGTAATCACGAAGCTTTCAAAAATGTTTGACCCTTTCTGTTCCAGTGGTTCTTGAGAAAAATATTTTATTTGAATGATGTAACTTAACGAGGCCCGATCTAGTTGAAAATTACGAAAACGGAATGATAAAAAAATTTAATTCTTGGAAATATACTTGTATGTTCTATGCTTAGAAAAAATAGAATGAAAGTTTGTTACCTTGCCTTTATTGTAGTGAAATGGGGGCACTGACAAGATATGGACCATTTTTCGTGTTTTTATACACAATTACATACTAAAACTCTTCAATAAACAAAGAAATTTACAAATTAAAAAAAACACATGATGAAATTCTTTGTTTTTCACATATATCATGCAATTTTCATTCTTCTTATAAAAAATGAAAAGAAAATTGGAGGTAGCCTTTATTGCAGTGAAAAGGGGGCATGTCAAAACACAAAATTTGGATTTATTCTATCCAACTACGTATTTTATAGGTCGCAATGGGTTTACATAACACCAAAAACGATTGCAATACTGTATTAATTTCTAAAAAATAAATAATTTTTACATTATGAAATAATTTTCTCGCCACGTTTTATTTTTCTCTTAACACGCGACGTTGTTTTACGTGGAAAAAGGGGTAGACGGAGGGGGGTAAGGACGACAAAATTGCGATTTTTACTAATATCATGTAATATATAGAAAAATAAAATATTTCGGGGGTTCAATTTCAATGATTTATAGATTTATTTAATTTTTTAAAACTGAAGATAATCCATGTATATTTAAGTCCGCAATAAAAAGAGTGTGTATAAACACTTCAATATGTTCAAAGAGAAAGACTAAAATCGTTTACAATTAGTTGCAGTGTTTGTTTTTTTAACTCCCAAATTGAAATAAAACAAGATTACTGAATCTGTACCAAAATATTGATCCCTCAAAATTAATTAGGTTCCAAAGTTGTTTATTAATTAAAATATATAAAAAAAATAATAGAAATGCCAGCTTTCAATCCATAGTCTATAGAGCAACCAGGTAAGCAAGATCAGGCCATCCTTAAAAAAATGTTTGTTTGGAATTGCCGCCTGAAGGGTTTCAGACACAGGAGGAAGGGAGGGAAATTATTTTTTTTTAATTGAAGATAAATTTAAATTTTTTTATAAAAATCTCAGTAAACAGTAAATACGTATACATTTTCTTACTTTTAAAAAAAGTATCTACCATCAACAATAAAACCTAATTTTACATAGGTCTGACATGTGATAAATGTAATGGGCAAAAAAATTGATTAAATAAAAAAAAATCTTCCTACTTTTGGTCAATAAAATTTTTTCAGGAGGGGGCATTTCAATGAGGCGGGAGGCAATTCCAAACAAACTATAATTTTATTTTGGCCTCAGCGAAACATTTTAGCGCAATTTGACGTCATTTTAATTGTGACGTTATTGTATTCAATTGTGATGGCAGTCAGAGGTACTGTGATGTGCCTGAGTCGACGCTGCGTTAAAACGTATGCGCAGATCAAGTAGATCGGGCCTCGTTAATTTTAACTTTTTCTTCTTTACAGTCAGGTATCTCTCTTGAAAAAAGGATGTGGCCCTTTATTTGAACAAATTTGAATCCCCTTTACTAAGGGATACTTTGTTCCAATTTCATTATAACTGAAGATAAAACTGGAAAACAATTTTTTTTTGACAACAATGACAATGCAATTGAAAAAATACATGTATTGTTCAGAAAAGCTCGCTTGAGCCTTCAGGTTAGATGAGCTAATCAAAATGTAGCAAATACACAAAGCTTAGTCAGCAGGCTGATAAAGGCAAAAAACTGGTGCCCTGCCCGGCTTTTATAGCGAGACTTTAAAAGGGTCGTAATGGTTTTCACAAGAACACTCTCTATCTTCTGAACTGTCTCATGGGATTCTACTTTACGACAAAAATTTATTTTTCTATATCCGTAAATAATTTGACCCAATATGTAATTCAGTGCATTATACATCTATTTTTAGCCAATTCGCAATGCATATTTTTTGTTCAAATAAGTGTATATAGCAAAAGTTGATACTTAATAATAATAATAAAATCCAAAATTCAATTAAAAGTACAGGGGGTTTTGATTGAATTGAGTTTTAAATACCGGTATAAATATTGAAAAGTTTAATATCAGTAATATATTCCCCCCAAAAAAGGACAAGTCAATACAAGTGTTTTCTATTAAAGATAAAAATTTTGAACTTTTTTTAACTTCTAGAAGACAGAAAAATCAGTTCGTTATTACCATAAATTTGCCTCATCAGAGTACGTTATATCCGTTATCTATTTCAAAACTTCATCGTGTATATCAAAATTCTTCGCTATTTCAATAAAACTATATCCATGTTCGTATACTTATTCATATACTAAACACATTTTACAGTCTTACTAACTTTTCTTTTTTTTTACATACATGTATAATAATATTCAGAAAGCTTTCAAAAAAAGTTGTATCATTTCTGGTACTGTGGTTCTTGAGAGGAATTTATGCATAACGGTTCAAAAAATATTTAACCATAGTAATCTATAATTTACTGTAGTACCTTTAAAAAAATAGGAAAAGCCTAAATGCTCCGACTTAATTTTGCAGTTTCTCGAAATTTTAATGCAATTTTTCGCATTTATCAAATGATGCTTTTGTGAAGAAAAGTCATTTCACGTAATGTGTTTATTATGTACATGTATATCATGTTTATATATACCTGTATATCATGTTTATATTAAGAAAAGAATGATCAGTAGATCAGATTTTTTTTAGTGACATGCTAAGATTATTTTCATTTTAAGATACTGTACATTATCAAATATTCGTGTTATCTTATTTTAGCGAAATAGGTAATTAAGATCTAAACATAATTTTCAAGAGTGATGTATAAAAATTTGCTTCATATTCTATGCCAATAAAAATATAAAAATGAAAGTGAAATTTTAGCGAGGAGACAGTCTCGCGTTATTACCTGAAAATAAAGTGCTCGTGAATAAAAAGTGATTAAGAAGTTTATCATTTATTGTATCTTCAACCTATTGCCCATTTTTAGAACGTTTGGTTCTAGCCATTGAGTAGGCTATCGGCGTAATCTAAAGAGAAAGAGTTTTTTCTCTTGTAAGTTAAACCACAACAAAAAAGAAGAATCCAATATCTAAATACAAGTAGACAAAGATTAGAAATCAATAATCTGATTTTCCTGATCAGATGGACGAGGTTTTGATTTTTGTTAAAGGCCTAAATTGGTGGGTTCTTATAGGATGTAATGTAAGAAAGATAACTCTTATTTACAATCTTTATCTTAAGTCACATGATTTCAGACATCTTGTGTCATTAGAATGGGAATCACCCGCTGTACAACAAAATTATGGCAGTCACAGTCTCGATCTAAAAGAGAAATATGTTAATGAAGTCTATGAAAAGAGATAAAAGGTGATCTTCACAGGATATTTTCTCCGTTATAACGGTAAAAAACTTATATTCATTACTTTCGGTTTGAAAGATTACTGTTTGTCATAAACAAATAAAGGCCTACTTCTGATTGCCACGTGACATTCTGAGTTAAAATATGCAAAGTCAAGAATTCAATTCACTCCATAGATGTGGAGGAGCGGTTAATTTAATTACACATCATATATGGTGTACGATTTAAAGAAAACCCTTTAATGGATTGAATTTAAATTTATTTTCATATTAAAATACACTTAACAAAGTATAAGAATTTCTATTTAAATATAAATAAACAATGAATTATATCTTAACAATTCTCATAATAGATTTTTAAGCCACATAATTATACAGTAAAACTCGGTTAGTACGAACACGGATATTGCGAATTCACGGATATAGCGAAGTCATTTTTGATCCCCAACTATATAAATCTAATATATTTCTTATACGGATATAACGAATTACGGATATAACGAAGTAATTTCTTTGTACTGTGGTTTCATCAATTTCCGTGGATTTTGTAAAACAGACGTTTTCGAGGATACGTAATTTCGTGGACAAAAGCATTGACTATACAAATCAATGTCATATTTCATAATTCAATGAACATTTGAATTCGTGGATCTGCTTAACAACGAAATCCACGAAAATTGGTGCTAAACGAATATTGATGAAACCACAGTAACCGAGTTTTACTGTATTATGGAGCCCCAGCAAAGCGCCCAAGATGTGGTCCGATGTGACCTTTGTGAGACAGCTATAGTACAGATGTACTGTGATTTCTGTCATGTCAACCTTTGTAAACCCTGTATCGAAGAACACATTGCTGATGAATATGACAAACATAAAATTGTCCCATTTCAACACAGAAAATCCACCTTGATTTATCCACATCCAACAAAAACCTATGAATTACAATGCAAGTAATGTGACATTTCTATTTGTGCCTTTTGTTCAGCATTACAGCTGCATGAAGGACACAAATTTTCAATCCTTGAAGAAGTTTACAACTCAAAGAAAAATGAAATTGCAAAAGACACAGAGGAGTTACAAAACATTATCTCCCCTACATATAAAGAAATTACAAATGATGTAGAAACACAGATAGCTGACTTGGATGGAGAATATGAGAAACTTACAACAGCAGTGACAGAACATGGGAAACAATGGCACAGAAAAATTGACAATGTCATCAATGCCATGAAAAAAGAAATTGAAGATTTTAAAACAAAACACCTTGACATTCTAAAGAAAACTGCAGAAGAAATCAAACAATTACAATCTCTTATTGAAGAATCTCTACTTAACTTGAAGAAAATTGAAGAATCCAACGAAGTGTCCATGACCATAGAATACAGCTCAGGAAACAAAGAATTCAGCGAGCTTCCTCTTAAAATTCAAGTATCACTTCCCAAGTTTAATCCAAAGCCAGTAGACATAGAACAACTTTTTAAGTTGTTTGGAATTCTTTCACCTTTATCTACTACGACAGATGAAAATGACTACGTACTGCAGACACCAGGGACATCAACCAGAGAATTGCTGGAAGAACCAGAACTTATCACTACTATGGATACTGGTTATGAAAAACTCCGTAATATTACCTGTCTCAGTGAAGAAAAAATCTGGACAAGTGGAAAAGTCAGTGATATGAAATGCTTTAACATTCAAGGTTTACTTATAAAGACAATCAAAACAAAATCAGGGGAACAGACAAATGATATAGCAGTGACAAGTGATGGAGATCTAGTGTACTCTGATGGGACAACAGGGACTGTGAATAATGTGAAGAATGGACAGATAGAGGAGGTGATCAGACTACAGGACTGGACACCTAGTACACTCTGTGTCACTTCTTCTGGTGATCTCCTGGTTATCATGTACAGTGATGATTGTGATGAAGATAAAACACAATCTAAAGTTGTCCATTACTCAGGCTTCACGGAGAAACAAACAATCCAGTTTGATGATGAGGGTGAACCTCTGTATTAAGGAAATAACTACATTAAGTACATCAGTGAGAACAGAAACATGGAAATCTGTGTGTGTGACAATAAAGCTGGCGCTGTAGTGGTGGTCAATCAGGTTGGTAAACTCAGATTTAGATACACTGGTCATCCTTTTTCTACAAAAAACAAACCATTTATGCCCCATGGCATCACAACAGACATCCAGAGTCAGATTCTGACATCAGACCGTAATAACCACTCTATCCACATCCTAGACCAGGACGGACAGTTCCTCCGTTATATAGATAACTGTGATCTGAAGAATCCATATGGTTTATGTGTGGACAAAAGTGACAATCTGTTTGTTGCTGAGTATGGAGGAAAGATTAAGAAAATCAAATATTTTAAATAGAGGCATGTATATGTATGTAAATTGTATGTAGAAACTATTGTACCCTTTTAATGTGCTTTAACAAAATCTTTAATTAAAGATATAGTCTTTAAAATCATGAAATACAATAGTACAAAATATATCCTGTCTTACATGTGTAGATTGGGCCAATAAATCAGATTATCTGTATTAAATAGATCTTACGCAGTACAGTTAAGGTGCGCAATGGAAATATCGGCTAAATTTTGTATTTAAAAATGTATTCGTATTCGGGATGGCGATTATTTTTAGTATATTATTCATATCGGATAATTGTAATTATGCTTAATAACTACATATCGAGGACAATTATATTTTATATTTAGACTAGTCACGTGATGCGGCAGTCACGCGATTTTAACACATTGACTTGAAGTATTGATGTTGCATATAAATATCACTAGTGCAAGGGCATAACCAAGTTAAATTTCCAAGTTTAGTATATAAATATTTTAAACATGTATCGTAGTTTCTAAAAAATGCTGCGATCCTGTCTAAATTCTGTAATTTTATTGTTAAAATTATACTTGTATGACCGAATGCTATATTTTTTGCTAGTCAGCGGCATGAAATACTGATATAATTATATTGTTTTTAAGATTTCATCAGGATCGCAGCACTTTTCAGATACCTTATTAGTTCTATGCTTGAAATGTAAAAGCTTACTTTGTTCCATAGAGTGTATGCCCTTGCACAAGATCGATTTATTAAGACCCCCCCCCCCCCCACATTACCCTCCGATGAACTTGCATATAAATGTACGGCAGTGCCAATTAAATACGTAATGTACAGAAAATATATTAATAAAATAGCGAAGAAGACATTAAATTAAGTTATTGTCCCATAGAATATCTGTAAATAATATTTTTTTTAATAAGAGAATACAAATTTTGTTGAGAAAATATTACTTGATCTGTCTCTCACTGCATACAAACTACGTCACGTTGTAAGAAATGACGTCATATTGACAAGTGTATTGCGATCAGTGCCTTGTTTATAACTTGTTATGTGGGATTTAACTAACGACAAAACAACACACTGTAGTAAGTTTTTATGTAGTTTGATGATTTCTTACTGGTTAAATTAGCAGATAAACTCATTTTGTGGAATTTTCAAGAAATGTTGTATGACGTATATTGTGTATGATGTCATAGTAAAGTTTTCCCGTACAAATTAGGCTCCGCCTCCTTTTTGTAACCTTAACTGTGCTGCGTAGAAAAGGCTCCCGGGCAACAAAGCTCATATTAGTAACAATATTTTCCTCCTTGAAACAGCTATTGTACCCGTACCCCCCCCCCCCCCCCGGGGGCATGATTTGAAAAATTTAGAATTTTACACTACCGCAGGATTCTTCCTCATACATTTCAGCTTTTCTGACTCAGTGGTTTTCAAAGATTTTTAATGTCCCCACCCTGTTTTTGTCTTTTCTTGATATCTGTAAATTCACATTTTCGTTGCATCAAATTTTTATGGATTGAGAAAAAAAAATATGGGATTAGGGATTGTATTTTCAGGATATAGAAGGGTTGAGTAGTTAATATAAAGAATTTTACATTTCGTAGTAAATATAAATTCATGGATATCATTGTACCCAAAACAACGAAAATTTTACCCCTCGGAAAATTAGTGATTTCACAGTATCTAAATGTGAAAGGGGGTAGGTCCTTCATTTTAAAAATTTTAACTTCCTGTCATCCAAGGATGCTCTGTAGCAACTCCGGTTGAAAATAGGTCCACAGTGGTTGACAATGTGAAAGTTTACCGAGAAAGGGGCGGACAGCGGGTGCTTATTAAAGCTCACTAGAGTTTTCAGACAATGTAAGCAAATAGAAATAATAAAGCAAAGCACTGAATCATTTGATTTATTAATGGTTTAATGGCTAATTTCCATAACAAACATGTAAGTTACAAGAAAAAAACATTATATGCAATATCATATGAATCGGATTGAAACATTCTTCACCGGTTATATACGAATGTTGATCCAAAAGTTCGTGGAATTTCTTTTTAAACTTTTATCGTGATTTGATGAAAGCAAACAACATGCATATTTACAATATAGAGTCATAATGTAACAATATTGGAAAATTTTCCAATCACCGAAAAGGTCACACGAGCTTTCTGAAAATGGATAGTTGTAAAACCTGGGGGAGACTTCGACGAAACGTCAAGTCAGATATATCACGTCACGTTATAGAAGCATCTCACACTTATGTCCAATTCGAAAACGTAATTCTACAAAATGCTGCCCTTTTCTCCATTTTTTTTTCTCAAGAAAAGCCTTCATGGGTATCTTCTCGCACAAAGTGATCTTCATTTTTTACTTATATTGCAAAATCCTCCCATCTTTTTATATTATGTTCCAATTTCAGTAGCAATGTCAAGAACCGTACGTCAGCCGACAACGTCCATTGACACGTTTAAGGAGGCTGGTGGGTCAACAAAATAATCCCAAATTAACCACCAATTAATTTTTTTAGATACGGTATCTTTAGCTGTCAACTATTATTTGGCAAAGAAAAAATTAATACATTTTTGTTTTAAAATTTGATCATTTTTGTATATCTGTATATGGAGCTCTCCTTTTAAAGGAGATTGAAAGAGTCTAAAAATGGCTGCCACCCCCCAGCCTCTGTAATTTGTCAAGGGGGATAAACACTTAAAACATAACCTCCAAAAAGCGGCCACGCCTTTAATCAACGTCCATGAAAAGTCTGTTTATCTTGAAATTCTCATGACACTTGAAAACTATTAATTACAGTGGACCTTCAGATATCCGGACGCCAGATATCCGGATGCTTCAGTATCTGGACGATTTTTCATCGGAACGAAATTTTTAAATGTTATTTTGTCTTGTTTAACTGGTGATTCAGATATCCGGATGCTTCACATATCCGGACAAATTGACTGGGAACCAAAGCGTCCGGATAAATGAGGGTCCACTGTAAATGAAATTTTCCCCAACCTATGCCGATAACATACGCCTTTAAGATAGAGTGATTCCGGGATTTTCACAAAACTAATGACTTTACCGAAATTGATGTCGTCTAACAACTTGAAAATGAACAATACATTTTCAACTAATAAGCTAAATATCCAGTAAATCAGTAAAACTCTCATATAAAGGTTTATAAAAGATCAAGCAATCGTAATAATGACATAAATTTTGTTTTATATACCACAAAGGGCGGTTTAATTCTCATTTCACGTTTTAAGAAATAAAAAGGTAATAAACGCGTATATCCAAACAACCGTTTCTATGGCAACTTCCATAGAGTTACTGTCATAAATATTTAAAATGTTTTATCATTCAAAATATTCGTGTTAGAATAGGTCCTCAGTACCCCTTTGCTTGTCGTAAAAGGCGACCAAATGGGGCGGTCCTTCGGAAGAGACCGTATAAACCGAGGCCCCGTGTCACAGCAGGTGTGGCACGATAAAGATTCTTCCCTGCTCAAAGGCCGTAAGTGCCGAGCATAGGCCTAAATTTGCAGCCCTTCATTGGCAATGGTGACGTCTCCATATCAGTGAAATATTCTGGAGAGGGGCGTTAAACAGTATACGATCAATCAATCAAAATATTCAACAAGTGTCTATATTCTTAACTGTATTTTTCAACCAATTTCACTTAAAAATAAATAAGCTATGAAGAAAATTCCACGAACTTTTGGATCAACCCTCGTATATATAGAAATTATATCATCTTCCTACATTAAAACATACTTTAAATTGTTACACCATAAATTTCGTGTATATTCACAGTGTCAAGTACATGTATAATGACCTAAATAAAACTGACATATCTGTCATATATCTACATTTACATGTATTATTATAAAAATAAAACCTCTACACGGGTGCAACAGCAGTTCGTAATTAGCTTTAAAATCCTTATTGTAGTAAAAAGAACAGTAAAAAAAAAAATAAAATTCATTTTTAAAAAATATCAAGAACAGTAAAATCTTCGTCTATAAGACAAAATTTAAAGTTCTAACTGTTCAATTCATCATAGATCAAACTGCAAGACTGAGGAAATGTACTTTTATAGAACAAAGAACAAGGTTCACTTTTGCCTTATTTGGCCCTGTGAATTTCTGAAAAACTGAAACTGCATAGTGATGGATAACAATGCATTAAAATATCACTTAGATCTTTGATGACTGCGATCCTATAAAAATGACGTCATTTTCTGACTAGTCAATGCATTATGACGTCACGAAATGCGTCAATTTCCTCATATTCCGAAAAAGTCTACAAAAACGGCCTATTTTTAAAGTTATTTTTTGTTATTTGATATAGAGCGCAACCTCTGATCTAAAATATGCAACTAGTAAATGATAGAACTGTTTCTGAGGATTCATGGACATGTTTTATTTTTTAGATCAGAGGGTGCGCTCATATTATTTTTCTTCACTGAAAGTACTCAATTATACCTGTTTACCTAAACATTCAAGAACATTGCAATTTCATAAAGCCAATTCTCCAATACCTGGACTTTGAGGAGAAGTTTTTTGAATAGGATATGAAAGCACGAAGTCTTTATTATATTTTAATGCTTCAAATAGAAAATCAAGTGTTGATCCATTAATTGGTATATCTACAGGGCCATTTTATGCATAAAGTGAACCGACTTCTTTCTAACAAACATCTTTTGAACCTTTCTCCTGATTTATAAGAAATTTAAAATCTAGTATACAGAAAATATCAAAATATTTGTCTAAACAATATAATCAAAGCTTGAACATGAATCTAAAAATGCTCACATATATAATAACTGTGAGGAAAGAAATCAGATGGCAATTATCAAAATTTCTATAGAAAAAAACGCAACAATTCTTATCTTATTGAAATAAAACTCCCACACTCATAATCAAAATGATATTTCATGACTCCAGAAATGACGTTTAAAGATATTGTTACGTTTTATAGGGGGATGAATTAAATAGCTGCATTTTAGTGATTGAATATTGTCAATATTTCATTCTATGAAATCTGTGAATACTGAGCACTGTTTTCTAAGTAATCTATCTTATAAAAGATTTAAAATATATGACATTTAGTGATGGAATCTTTTAATTTTCATGGGGATGTAATATTTTAAAGGTATGGAGAAACACAAATTCATGCCCTCCTCGAATATTTAAATTCAAGAATAAGGTATGGCGTGTCTTAAATTCTTCAACCATGAAATAAAAGTTTCTCGAACAAATATTTTTTCTCAAACTATGAAAATATGACTCGACAAAAAGTGATTTTAAATTGACGTCTCAACCCTCCATCTACAAATTTGAAAATATACCAAGAAAAATGATTTAAAGTTGTATAATACATAAAAACAGCAAAATATGATATCACTGGTCCAAATATATTCATCACTACTTGTCCCAAACTGTGTTTTTTAATACACTTAAACTCGTTAAATATATATGAACAGTATTTTGAATATATATGTCCATGTTACATATTACACAAAATATATATTACTAGTATTTATGTGGAAATAAGGACTAATCTTCTAGTTTTGTAGTAGACAATATACAATTCTTTTAATTCTTACAATACATGAATATCGACACCATACATAACAATTGTATTGATGTGCATTCACATTTAATTTACCGAATGAACACAAGTGCACTTATGCACTTAATAAACATAACTTTACAGGAATCTTTATGGCACATTTTCTTCTACTGCCGCTACATTAACAGCACTAGCATCAGCAGACATCCTAAACTGAAGTATACAAATAAAAAGGGATTTAGGTAAATTACCCCCCCCCCTTCACATTGCACCCTTACCCTAAGCCCAGGATTTGTACTTAAACAAACTGGAATCAATACTTACAATCAACTTTGTAGTTAATGTCAACTTATCAAAATGACTTACTTGGACATGTTACTCGTAATCAACTCTAGTCCTCCAGGGTCCATAATTTGTACGATCAGAAACCTGCACTAGATGTGAGTTTCATACAATGATGGACTTTGCATGAACTATATACACTGTATGGTGATAACTAACATTAATCAGTAAAAAAGTCCATTACACAATAGAAATCAAGAGAAGAGCAAACATGGACCTCTAAAACAGCAGAGGTGGGATCAGGTGCCATTTCTCAGAAGATTTTTTACTGCTATCATGTGATCTTGACATACAGTGTTACCTCTTACTATGAATCTTTAGTTGTATGCCCGAATTTAGAATATTAATTGTATGAATTTAATGTTGATAGTTTTGATAAAAGATATACCTTTAACATTTATTCTAAGGATTAAGAAATAAAGTAAGATTTTTTTTATAGGTGAAACATTTTCATCAGAGATCTGTCCCTTTGAATTTGAAGGGTTTTATTTTTTCATTTCCTTTTTAAACAAAAGCAAGAGGATCATATTCTAATAGTTTCATTTCTAACATTAACTTTTTTATTTCTGGATAACTTCAGATATGTCGTTGTAAGTCTGTAATAAAAATTAGGCACCTTGCATGGTCAATCAATATTCACACAAAATTGAAATACGTTTTTAACTGATATAAATATATAATTATAAAAAATGAAATTCATAGAAATTGAATCCATGCACATAAATACAAGTGTGAATCAAAGTACTCAGAAGTACAGAGAGCCGGGCTCATTTACAGAGCAGAATGGATTTCTTACATGAATCACGTTTATGTTCTAATGAAAAATTATATTAAAACTATCAATATTAATGATAAGACACTGATAGTGAGTTTTTCAATTCTAATACCACGGTCCGATTTTGTCGGAATCAGAATTAATCTGGTACCGCAGCTGAATGTAAACAAACAGGCCAGTCTGGTTCCCTCTCCTGCTATACCTCGTATGTGTAGAGAACTACGGTAACACTGATTATCAAAAATCCTAACGCTAATGAACTATGTTCTTTGACTTATGAAGTTTTCAAATTCATTACTACAAATGTTTTTTATAGATAAAACTTCGTTTCATTTTTGTTGCTTTATTTAGCGTTAGTATTATCTCAAAAGCGGTTGAGAGTAAGAACTATATTTTTGCACGTAACTTTAAAATGGCGACTATTGGGTTAACATCCTGCCTTGAACAGGATCACATAAGCTGGCAATTGCTCTTTGAGCAATAAGCCCGGCTAAAAATTGATTCATATTGCCTGCATTACCAAACAAAATGTAACCTTACCAAGTAAAGATACACATGCATGTATTACCCAAGACATTCTATATACAAAGACATGATACAAAATCAAAGCTGCCTTTTATCCATTGTCACTTCAAAACGTCAAGACACCACATGTATGTTTACAAAACTTTGGAATAATTTTCCCACCACGGTATGCAAATATATAACATTTGGAATGATATAACTAGGCCCACATACAGATATATGCTTTTAGAAAAAATCGAAAAAAAAGTTTATGGACAGAGGGACATAGGACAATGTGTGATCAGTCAAATAAAGATTAAAACACAGTTTATACATGATTACTGTAATAATAATTTGTTAAAAACTACAATGTATGATATATACCATTGTTGCAAACCACAGTTTTGAGTCCAAAGCTCCAACGTAGGTGTGATTTATTTTTTTATTAAAAAAAAAGAAAAAAAAACTGATAATCTTTTCTTTAAGAAAATTTACATTTTAAAATTCCCTTATAATAGAAAAATGAGGGTTAGGCGAAATATTTTTCTACCTTTGAAATGATTTTATGAATAAGGACATAGGGTACAATACCCCTAACGAAAAATTACTATGGTAAGAGATAGTAATTAAGGTACATGTACTTTGATATCCTGACTTACTATGAGACTCCCTACCCCCCAATCATTTAGATACTGTAGATCACCAAATATTAGCAACAAATTATTTTAGCAAGAGAGGAATTAAGGAGCGAGTGAAAATTTTAAAGCATGATGGTCTTAGCCTTTTCTATGCCATTTAAAATAAACGCGAGAATTGAATCGTATTTTCCCGAAGATAAAGTTCTTGCGAATTAAAGTCTGATTAATACAGTTCTTCAGTTTTGCATTTATTGTAGCTTCAAGCTATAGCAATTGCCCGCTTTAAAGAAATTTTGATTCTACGATTGGATAAGCTATTGGTATACAAAGTTGTCTTCTCTTGTAAGCGCAACAAAAAAAAGAAGAATTCGAATAGATAAATACAAGTAGACAAATGTTAAAATCATTTACCCCATTTTTCTGATCAGTTGCACGAGGATCTATAATTTATGTACTAGGCCTGGCAAATTTTATTTGATAGGATTTTAATATGGTCAACACCAAAGGGTACAATGGAAGAAAGACAACTCTAATTTTCAACCTTGAACTTGAGTCACAAGATTCAACACGTCTTATATAAATATGGGGTTGATTTGCCAACCTCCGTTGTGAAACAATATTGTAGACAGTCCAATAAGAGATATGTTAGAGAAGTAGATAAAACAACTTAATTGCTGACATCCAGTGTTGTGAAGGATTTTTCCTGCTACAACGGTAAACAAACTAATGCATTATATTTACTACTTTCGTTTTGTATGATTACTGTATGTCATAAACTGATAACAAATAAAGGCCCAATTTTGATGATTCCGATTGCCACAAGGCATTTTGAGTTAAAATATGAAAAGTCAAGTATTCAGTATTCACTCTATGAATTTGCAGAGGCAGATGCAATTAATTTAATCATACAAATATCATGGTGTATTAAAAATTTTGAATTTTGATTTGTGTTACTATTAGCATGCATAATCAAATGTAAGTTTTTATTTAAAATATTCTAAATGAACAAGGAATTATGTCTAAACAATTTTCTTTATAGAACTTAAGTTACTATGGACCCCCAACACAGTGCTCAGGATGTGATCAGATGTGACCTTTGTGAGACAGCTATAGTGCAGATGTACTGTGATTTCTGTCATGTCAACCTTTGTAAACCCTGTATTGGAGAACACATTTCTGATGACTATAACAAACATCAAATTGTCCCATTCCAACAAAGAAAATCAACATTGAATTATTCAAAGTGTACAACACATTCAACCAAACCCTGTGATTTACAATGCAAGGAATGTGACATTCCTGTTTGTTCCTTTTGCTCAGCATCGAAGCAACACGAAGGACATAAATTTTTAATCCTTGAAGAAGTTTACAACTCAAAGAAAAATGAAATTGCAAAAGATACAGAGGAATTACAAAACATTATCTCCCCTACATATGCAGAAATTGCAAATTATTTAGAAACACAGCTAGCTAACTTAGATGGAGAATATGAGAAACTTACAACAACAGTGACAGAACATGGAAAACAATGGCACAGAGAAATTGACAATGTCATCAATGCTATGAAGAAAGAAATTGAAGATTTTAAAATAAATCACCTTAACATATTGAAGAAATATGCAGAAGAAATAAAACAATTACAATCACTGATTGAAGAAACTCTGCTCAACTTGAAGAAGATTGAAGAATCCAATGAAGTATCTTTGAGTATAGAATACAGCTCAAGAAACAAAGAATTCAGTAAGCTTCCTCCTAAAATTCAAGTATCATTTCCCATTTTTAATCCACAATCAGTAGACAGAGAACAGCTTTATAAGTTAATTGGAATTGTTTCGCCATTATCTACTACAATAGATGAAAATGGCTACAAACTAACATCGGCCAGAAAACTGCTGAATAAGCCAGAACTAATCACTACTATAAATACTGGGTATAAAAAACTCTTTAGTGTGACCTGTCTCAGTGAAGAAGAAATCTGGACAAGTGGAGAAATCAGTGATATGAAATGCTTCAACATTCAAGGCTCAATTAAAAAGACAATCAAAACAAAATCAGGGGAATGGCCATATGATATAGCATTGACAAGTGATGGTGATCTAGTGTACTCTAACTGGGAAACAATGACAGTGAATAAAGTAAAGAATGGCCAGACAGAGGAGGTGATCAGACTACAGGACTGGACACCTAACAATCTCTGCGTCACTTCCTCTAGTGATCTCCTGGTTACCATGTACAGTGAAGATTATGATGATGAGGAGGAGGAGGAGGAGAAGGAGGAGGAGGAGGAGGAGGAGGAGGAGGAGGATAATGTCATACATTCCAAAGTTGTTCTTTATTCGGGCTTTACAGAGAAACAATCAATCCAGTTTGATGAGGAGGGTAAACCTCTGTATTCAGGAAATAGCTACAGTAAGTACATCAGTGAGAACAGAAACCTAGATATCTGTGTGGCTGACTGGGGAGCTGGTGCTGTAGTGGTGGTCAATCAGGCTGGAAAACTCCGATTTACATACACTGGTCATCCTTCTACTACAAAGAACGAACCATTTGAACCTTTTGGAATCACAACAGACAGTCAGAGTCAGATCCTGACAGCAGACTACCATAACCACTGTATCCACATCCTAGACCAGGACGGACAGTTCCTCCGTTATATAGATAACTGTGATCTGAGGGATCCATGGGGAATATGTGTGGACAAAAGTGATTATCTGTTTGTCGCTGAATATGAAGGAAAGATTAAGAAAATTAAATATTTTAAGGTCAAGATCTAGTAAATAACTTTAGACTAATTTTTGGTGTTTGATCCATTATGACGTCATAATCAATTTCAGCTTTCTTTTTCCCGTACTTTACGGCTTTAGCAGAATAATGTAGAAAATATGGTACTTTCATGACATTCAATTTGAAATCATATGAAAAGTAACCCGGATACCTATATTAAATTTGATATTGATTTAAAGAAGAGGCCATGAACATACTAATTACCGTTTTCTGAGAGACTGTAGGCATTCTAGATACATTTCCTTTGTCAAATATGAAAAAAAACTCCCATATTCATGACTGTTTTTTTTAAATTTTTCATTAAAAATGACAGTTTAAAATACAGTTTTTCATCTTGTCTACCTATAAATTATGCCCCGAAACACCTTATTTGACCAAGCTAAAGTTGTAAAGCATCAATAAAGGAATTTATTTCTCAAATTTGATAAATCTGTAGGCACCTTGCATTTATTAGATCTTGACCTTAAATAGAGGCATGTATGTAAATATAGATAGTTAGTAGAAACTATTGTACCAATTTATTGTGCTTTAATATTTGTTAATTTAAAACATTTGAAAGCATGAATTGCAATACTTAAAAAAATATCCTGATTTACATGTTTAATATACATAATGGGCCATTTAAAAAGATAACCTTTCTTGCTATTAAGGCTCTTATTAAAAGAAACAAAAGGGCAACAACGCTCAAGTAACCAGATATTTCTTCCTTGAAATACCTATTGTGACCCTGACGTACCCAAGGGGTCATAATTAAAAAAAATTAGAATTTTACACTGCCCCGTGAGGCTTCCACATATGTTTAAGCTTTTCTAACTCAATGGTGCATAACGTTTTTTTAATGTTCCCACATTATGTTGTCTTTTCTTGAGAAATGTAAAATAATAATTTCGCGGCGTGAAATTTTCGAGGATTGAGAAAAAAATATGAGTTTGTGGGGAATTGATTTTGAGGATGTTGAGTAGTTAATATAAGGAATTTTACATTTTGTAGTGAATATAAATTTATGGGTATCATTTACCTTGAAAATAACGAAATTTAACCCTTACGAAAATGAATGATTTCACAGTATTTCTTCTACCAGGGAGGTACGTCATTCATTTAAACAATTTTAACTTCATTTCATCCACGGATGCTCTTTAGCAACTTTGAAATTGTTTGAAAGAAGATGGGCGCATTTGGCAGGTGATCTGCAGGAATCATTTGTACGAAACATTTATGGTTTAAATGTCCATGATTTGGTTGGCTGAACATACCTGGTCAGATTTTACAAACACGTCCATGGTTTTTTTTTTTTCATTTAGTTTGAAAGGCATTGTGAAATAGTAACATTTATGTCAATTTTTTCTAGGGGGTACTATAACATAGTAATATTTCACAAAAAAATAAAACCTAAAATATATTTAATGCATAGATGCATGATACGTGTACATGTACATTATAAAATAGAAGATTAGAATTGATTTCGCTTGAGAACCAAACTGAACCAAGATTTATCTAATTCAAAATTTTAATACATCAGTACATAAAATGAAACTGACAAAATAAATGGTTGCTTGCCTGAATTAAAAAAAAAATTATCGCCCCATGCCAGGCTCGAACCAAAAACTTTTCGCTTCCTGTGCACTGAACAGGTAGCCTAACTTTCTGAGCTATCAGCGCTACACATGTTCAATTGTCTTTAAAAGTACAAAGACGCACCACATTTGGATTTTGGGGGGAAAAGTTCATTTTTCGTGGTCTCTGGGTCTTCTCTCCATTTTTTAAAAAAGTATAATCGTTTCTTTGAATAAAAATACACACAAGTAACGTTTCAAAATCATGGAGAGAAGACCCAGACATAGAACATTTTTAGAAAAATGTGTTTCAAAATGTACAATTTTGTACCAAATGTCTGATATGGTCAATTTTCAAGTTATTTTTTAGCAAATCAAAGCTCAATTTCGGGAAAATATTTTCCATTCCTGTTGCACAGGAACCCGATAAAATAAAAAAAAATGTTAAAATTTCATGTGATATGTCAATAAAATTTTCACTTTTCAATTACGCCCAGGTTCCTGCCGAATGCCAATCAAAAGCGCCCTCGTTCTTTGGTCCAGTGGTTGACATTGTGAAAGTTTACAAAAGGAAGGACGGACAGCCGGTGCGTAGGAAAGCTCACTAGAGTTTTCATATGATGCAAGCTAAAAAAAGAAGTAATAAAGCAAAGCACTATTATTTGATTTATTGATGGTTTTTATGACCAATTTCCATAACAAACATCTAACAAGGATAATTATGAATCGAATTGAAATACTCTTAACCGGTTATAGATATACATGTAGTAATATCATCTTCATGACATACTTTAAATTGTAACACTAGAAATTTCGCGTATATTTACCAAGTAAAGATTATGACCTAAATAAAACTGACACATATGTTATATACATGTATCTACATTTTCATGTATTATTATAAAAATAAAATCTCTGCATGGACGCAATGCATTTCATCAATAAGCTATCAAAATCCTTATCATAGTGACAAGAACAATAAAAAAGAAAAATCCTTTTTTTTAAAATATCAAAATCAATTAAAATCTTCGTCTATAAGACAATATTCAAGGTGCTAACTGATCAACTAATCATAGCTCAAACTGCACGACTGAAGAAATGAAGTTTTATAGAACAATTTTTACGAACATCTTTTGGACCTTTCTCATGATTTATAAAATATTAAAAATCTAGTATACAGAATACATCAATACATTTGTTTAAACAATATCATCAAAGCTTAAACCTGAATTTTAAAAATGCTCACATAGATTATCAAGATAAGGAAAAACTAAATCAGGTGGCAATTGTCAAAATTTAGATACAAAAAACATGACAATTCTTTTCTTATTAAAATTAATATGACCCCAGAAATGAAGGTTAAAGATATCGTTATGTTTTATAAGTGCATGGATTTATTAGCTGCATTTTAGTGATTGTCAAAAGATTTCATTCCACGATATCAGTGAAGTATATACTGTAATCCATTTTCTAATCTACATGTATTATATTAAGCTTTAAAATAAATGATAATTTAACTGTATGTGAAATCTGAATTCTTCTTGCGGGTTCAACTTTTTAAAAGTATCGATAAACACAAATCTATGCACTCCACGAATGTTGGAATTTAGTAATAGAGTATGGCGTATCTTCACTTCTTCAGCAATGAATATAAGTTTCTCAAGCTAACATATTTTTCTCAAACTATGAAAATATGACTTAAAATAAATGATTTGAAAAAGACATTTCAACCCTCCATCTGAAAATTGGAGAATATCCCAAGAAAATGATTTGAAGTTAGCAAAATACAGGGTGGATCCAGATTTTTTTTTTCTGGGGGGGGGGGCATCCCATTCCAGAAATTTCTTGACGGGCAAGAGTAAAACAAACGTGACCTCGCCCAAACTTCAAAAACATATTACCTGTTGGGTGGGGGTTAGTCGAAGACTTCTT